ACAGGCCATTTTCATCAAGCACTTCTTCAATCCCACTTCTAAATGTAGCACTGAGTTGCTGAAACCCAGTATAGTTACTTATCACTACAGCAAATTACTCTGTAATAATTAACTGCCTTTGGTCTCACCACGTCTGTGTAAGTTGCTACTATTCCCATTTTACAGTTGGGGAACTGAAGCTGACAGATGTGAGGAAGTGCTGGGAATGTAACCCTTGCAAAGTCAGGCCCCAGGACACTTTTGGGTGAAGGTTGACCCCACTTTTCACCACAGAACACAGCTGAGTGGATTATTAGTCCTCTTCCTCAGCCTGGTACTTTTTTGGCTGCCAGGGGATTTTAAGGACTCTTTTCTGGCCCTTGCTTTGTCCTCCCTCCCCCCAGTCTTCCCCCCCACTCCAATTTCTGGGGACCCATAAGCAGGGCCATCTTTAGCAGATGCGGCGCTGGGGTGAAATATCCACCCAGTGCCCCCAAATTACCACGGATAGTGTTGGGGTGGCCATAGCTGTGCACTGCCAGCCATCGGGGGGGGGGGTGCAACTCTCCCCCATGCCGCTGCGGGAGAGCGATCCCCGTAGAGGCTTGGGAGTGAAGTTGCACCCCTCCCAAGCCTCCTCGGGAGGAGAGTGTTCCTCCCAAGGAGGCTTGGGAGGGAAGCTGCGCACCCACCAGCCATATGGTTGGCGGGGCACAGCTTCCATCCTAAGCTTGGCGGGGTGCAGCTGGTGGGTGTGCAGGGAAAGAGGAGGCCACTGACAAAGCCATGCAGCTCCCCCACTTGCTGGGGAGCCAAGGGAGGCCGGCACCCTGGCGCGATGCACCACTAAGCCCTATGGGAAAGACAGCTCTGCCCAAAAGGCCCATTAAGTCTGACTGCCAATGGAAGTCCTTGCCAGAAATTTGAGTGCTCCAGGCCTTTCCTATTGTCCCATCAAGTTGCCAGTTCACCTCGCCCTATGCTCCATGACTCTCCTGTCAGCTGCTGAACTGAGCCTTTACCCAATGTGGCACAGTCAAATCAAGATAGAGGTAGGATGTGACCACATATCTCCTGGATGCAAGGCCAACTCTGTCAAGACTATCTGATGGGACCACACTACTTCTCAACACTTGCATTTTTGAAAATGGCTTCTACAGACTTATGTCAACCTGACTATGGACTTTCCAAAGCCATCTCATTGGCCACAATAGACAACAGCATGATAGGCTGGTTCATGTCTACCCATTCTGACTTATGTCTTCTATTCTAGTGGAAATTGCCATAACTAATGACTTCCCTGTGTAAATATATTACAGGGACTGTGTTATTCCTCACCTGTTGAGGTTTTACTATGAAGTTTTCTAAGACCTCATCCTATCTCCTTGATTATCAATAATACCATATTCCTAATTATTCATGCTTTGTGGTCATTCTCATGTCCATGTATTTCAAGTCCATTCTTTGACTTCCCTGTTGCTCAGGAGAATAGCAGAAAAGAAGCATGCACTCTGACATACTGACAGACATTAGCAAAGAATTAGACTGAGGCAAAACAGAACATTTTAAATGGGTGCATATAATATGTTTGTTGGAGTGGCTGCCAAATCAATCTGACCGAAAACCTCAAGGATTTTCAAATTTAATTGATTTGTTCTTTAAATGTATTTGTGATCTGAAATGTCTTCAACACGAATATATGAATGCGTCTTACTCTGCACATGCACACGCATTTTAAAAGATGTCTCACACTCCAGACAATACAGAATATAAGTAACTAGGATGGCAAACCAAACCCCACTCACCTGGGAATGTGCCCCATTGAATTCAATAGGACTTACTTCTGAATAGCCATGGTTAGGATTGCACTGATCCCAGTTGATGCTCTGATGCAACAAATTGACAGCGCAAGGCTGCTCAGAAGTAAGACCTTGTGGGTCACTCCATGCAGTGGGTTATATCCAACTAACTTCTCCTCAGACCAGGCCCATTGAAATTAATGGACCTAGGTTAGCAATGTTTATTAATTTCAATGGGTCTACTCTGAGCATTGCCATTTTTCTCTGTATCACAATTAGAAGCAAAACAAGAAAAAAGGGACAGGGATAGTTTCCTAGAGAGTTAACATCTGACTCTCCCAACTCCCTTTCCTCTCCAAAGTAAACATGCTCGCCACAAGGAATTAAAGGCAGAGAGGAAAGGATGACTATAGTCTGACGACAGGATGTCAACAAAGTGTGACCTTTCATTTCTACTGGCTCCTCAGCCTTAATCTGAAACACCAATTACACCCTCTACGAATGATAAATATAAAAAAGAGAGGTCCCACTTTAGCTGACTTCCATGACATGCTGAACTGTCATTTCCTCTTGCTTCTAATTTTAACTCACAAAGCAACTAGGGTTGTGTGTTTTGGACTTTCTTCCTCTTTGCTTGTGGTCTGTTACAAGCCAAAGCTTCCTCTTTCCCTCATCTATGCTAAGAACCAGTCCTTACGAAGCTTGCATCACTCTGGAAATGGAATCATGACAGACATTCATGAGACCTAGAAATGTTGTGGGTCGGAAATGCATATCATGCTATTTCAGCTTACGGCACTGTTTCCTTTCTAAGCTGACACGAGAGACCCAAGTGGCCCCAGGAAGCAAGGAACGCGTAGGCCAAGGCCTGGCTGGTTCATCAGCTATGGCCATTTCTGGACCAGGCTCACCTGGTCACTATTATCTATGCCCCAGAATACAATTAGATTAGGGCAATGTTCTTTGTGTGGGGCTGCTCTTGAAGATGTCCTGGAAGCTGCACCTAGTGCAAAACGCTGAAGGTTAGCTGCTATATCATATTTCTAGGTGGAGTCACAATACCCCAATCCTTCAGGAGTTGCACTGGCTGCCCCCATGGCACCATGCCTTATTGAAGGTTTTGACTTTAGTCTACAAAGAGCCAGTGTGGTGTAGTGGTTAAGAGCAGTGGACTCGTAATCCGGTGAACCAGGTTCGCTTCCCCGCTCCTCCACCTGCAGCTGCTGGGTGACCTTGGGCCAGTCACACTTCTCTGAAGTCTCTCAGCCTTACTCACCTCACAGAGTGTTTATTGTGGGGGAGGAAGGGAAAGGAGAATGTTAGCCGCTTTGAGACTCCTGAAGGGGAGTGATAAAGCAGGATATCAAATCCAAACTCTTCAAAGCCCTGAATAACTTGGGACTCCAAATGCTTGTTGGAGCACCTTCTCTAGGATGTTTCAGCCTGGGCTCATTGGGAGAAGCTCTGCAGGTGGTGCTACAAGTCAGCACCTTCTTCATTGTGGCACCCCAATTATGATTGCCCCCCTCAGTCTTGTCTTTCCAATACCAGGTGAAGACATACTTATTCACTCAAATATTTGGGAGGAAATGAAATAGTAAGGCCATGTTGGACATTTAGTATGTGACAATCTTGACCTTTGTGGTGTATTATATGATGTTTTAAGATTGTATGTGTTCTTGTAAGATTTTTGTGTGGTTTTATATTTTGTACTCTGCATTCTTTGGATGAAGGATGGTTTAGGAATATGCTGATGCTGGATGATGATGTTAAATTGTCTTGGGCTCTGTTCTACAACCACTGGAACATAGCAGCTTTCAAACAAACACCTGACGTTTCTGCTTCTTAGATTTTTCTACTGGTTATAGAAGCCAATAGTCATCTTTCTAAATCTAGGTCTGTAGATGAAAACACAAGCATGACTTGGTTTTTCATGCTCTGGAACTAATATGCTGCTCTCTCTTATCATGTCAGAGTTCCTGGGGAAGGGGGCAAAAGGAGGATACCAAAACATGGCGGGGAGAGTGTTCACTGAAGAAAGCATGCACCTGTAAGCTGCATGTTTTGATTGATGGCCTTGCTGTGACAATTGTGTGTTATCCATAATTGTCGGTCCTGTTAGGATGACTGAGTCAGCAAGGCTCTGCTAGGCAGAAAGACACTTTTCCTCCTGAAGAGAAATCACAGGAAAGTGCCTTATACCTAAGCCAGTCCATTGGTCCACCTATCTCAGTATTCTCTTCACCAGAAGTTCTTAAACTCCTTCCCCTCCCAGGGGCCTAACGCTGTCCGCCAGCGTCCAGGGTGAGTGCACATGCGCCAGGCAGGGGCAGAGTACACTCACTCAGCTCTCACCACTGGGCAAGCAGGGGGCATAGAGGGTGCTCTTCACTTTTCACTTACCCAGCCCTCGCAGATCTCGGGGGGGGGGGTATGTGCCTGGTTCATGCCCTCCCCCCAATGTGCGCCTGGAGCAACGGCATCCCCGACACCCCTGCGCTACACCACTGCCCCCCCCACCCCTGCAGACCACTTGAAAATTGCTGAGGGTTTTGTCAGACCGCTTAATAAACTTTGTCATTCTACATTGTAGAGCTTCACTTGTTTTGCTTCTGTATTAAATATGTGGAAAAATAACATGGTCTTTGTTTTTTTCTTCAGCACCATCATCAAAATCTGATTGAAATTCACAGGTCCTAAGCCAGGCCACTGAAAAGAGGCACTGTAACTGGTAAATGGTAAGAGAAAGATTCATAGATTGCACCAGTGCCCTGATACAATACTCACATGCCAAAGGCCGGGACTTTGCTAACCAGTTCAGTAATCTTACACTGGTCAAAAAAGTCTCAATCTCTGCTAGAAAAAAATTAAGCAAGTGCAGGGTCCAGGACAGATTTCCTTGACTGTTCTGCAACTTTTCCAGCATAGACCATATCAATGGAGTTCATGGACCACCAGCAGTCCACACACCACACTTGGAGAATGTCTTGTCTACACTGATCAACTGTCCAGTCTGTGTTTCAGACCAGTGTCTTTCCCAGCATTACCAGGGCAGGGCAGGGCAGGAATTGAACCTGGAGCCTTTTCAACAGTCAAGTTGATGTTGAGTATGGTTGATGTTTTACTGTTTTGGCTATGATTTTATATACTGAAACATGCCAGGCGCTGCAAGAATGAGATTGTTTCACAACCCTGGAGTAGGAAAGCTATAGGAAACCAGAGTCAAATCCTGCTGTTGCTTTATTGTGATTGCTGCAATGCATAGTAGGTATTACTACTTGGGGGTGTGGCAAACACACACACACACACACACACACACGGAAACACCATGTCTGGAAAGACAACCATGAAGGGAAGTACTGTAAAAGAGTCGAGGTGGGCAATTTAGTGCCAATGAAATACCTAAAGCAAGAAGCGTCTGTGCAGCTCCAGGACACATGGCTGAAGCTCTGATTGGGCCTTTCAATAATAGTAACAGTTAAAAACAGCCTGGATAGGAAAGAACATTCCTGCTGTGGCTCTTAAAACTTTGTCAGCATTGGATAGAACTCAAATGATTTGAAAGGTCTCCAGTTGTTAAAGATATTCTGTCTTCTAATACTGCTGCTACTTAGATGATGATATTTTGTGGGTTGCACTAGAGGTTCTCTCGTTTATGCCTGACTTAAGAAATAATTAGTCTGAGACCAATTCGTATTATTAAACACGCTGAAGGCTCATGCATGCTTACCTTTTGCCCTATTCTTTCTAGGCACAGGTCCGTGTGTTAAAGTTTGGTGTCTGAGCACAATTTCCCCCCACTCTGGAGCTTTCCCCAGGAAAACTTGCTTTTTAAAGCTGAAATGGAGAAACTGACAATTTGGGTTTTCCATTGTTTGCTGTTTGCTCCAATTCAGCTTTCAAGAGCATATTTGAAAAGCTTCGGAGCAAAGAAAAAAAAGGGGGGGCACTCCTGCATGGAGCTGTAGAGCCTGGAAAGAGCAGAGGAAAGGTAAGTGTGGCTAACCCTGCGTGGGACACGTGGGACCAGTGGATTCCAGAGCCATAAGCTCCACTCTCTTTTTATGCAAACAGTGTTAGTATAAAGGGAGCACAACCTGGCTTGCTGGAAAATATGCATGGTTATGATTTCAAGACCCATCCTCCAGGAATCTAGCTGGTTAGTGGCAGAGATGGGTGTGAGATAATAGGTTAGTTAGAAAAGCAACTGCTGGAACCAGACTGTTGTCATTTTGATCCAGGCTAATATAAAAAGAACCCTAAGGACACATTCAGCTCCACACAAGTCCTGCAGATTCTGCCTCCATCCCATATACTGCAAAATGTCTGGAAAGCTAGAGTCTTTTACATGTTACTCTTCATGCCAAAGTGAACTAGACGAAGGTTGGAATTGTAAGACTAAATCACAGCAACATCTATGATGTCCTCTGAGCTGGCAAGTCACACCAAGAGCCTGGTGCTGCATGGAGATGATTCACTCTTAGTTTTCAAAGAGAAAAAGGGACCAAGCCAAGCATTTCAGCTGAAAGGGGAATATTGCTGCCGATCTTGCTAGTTGTTGTAGTTCTTAGTGATAAACTGGGTTGAAGCCACAGGGGTCCCAAGGTGAGAGTAATCCACAAAGTTCTCCATGTCCCAGGAACCTGGAAAGGGAAGAGAAATGACAAATTCTTACTCTTACTCAGGATCAAGCTACATGTGATGATGGACAAACTACCTCAATCACATATCCAACAGGAGCACAAGTAGAGCATCAGCTAGATCCTCCCTTTGCTTCTGATCATCTGGAACCTCTTCAACTGTTGGAGGTTGGCAGAGAAGAAATGTGTCCTGACATTTGGGGGTGGGAGAAAGCAGACAGACTGTGGGGAAGTAAGCTGTGCGTGGCGACACGGTTTTAGCTCAGGGGTCACCAAATTTATTGGACCAGAGCACACATTTTGAATTTTCAGAAAGTGCTGTGGGCATCAGTCACAAAATGGATGTAATGGGGAGCATAACACAAAATTAGAGAGTACACTCATTTCAGCTTCCACCACCACACTGCTGCAAACAGCCTCAAGCTTACCATGGGAAGTTCAGATTGTGGTAGTCACATAATACTGTATTGATTTCTCTCTCACACAGTGATGCTGTTGCCGTCTAAGGTCACAACCAACTTGCCATTAAGTTTGGGCCTAGCTGTTTCATTTTTAATCTAGTCCGGGGCTAGATTTTACTTGGGGAAAGATCCTGAAAACTCATGTTTTCCCATTCATTCCTCTAGTCAGCATTTCGTGTCGTCTCCACCTCCTTCTTTGTCCACTTGTCACAGCCAAGTTGAGCAGGCACATTCAGTCACACACACCCTGGAGGCATCTTTGTGCTAGACTCAAACTTCCAGACCTGCACACAAATGAAGCACCAGTAACCGTGGAAGAGGAGGAGCGAGCCTGCACATTGTTTTCCTTTTTCAAAATCTCATTTTGCAGGGCTGCAACAATCAATGGAAGTAAGTGGCATGCAAATTCAAGACCCACAAAGCCGAGAGGAAAAGGCAAGGATAAGCTAATCAAGAGGAGCGCTTTTAAATGTGTATCAAGGAATGACATCTACCCTGGTGGACAGCAGGGTCCAGAATCAATCTAAATTGAAGGCAGTATGTTGAGGACAAGAAGGAATGATTCTAGATTGGGGAAAACCTACATGTTAGTGTTACAAACAGGTTTGTGTGTTCACAGCCTGTGGGAGAAGAGGACAACCAGTGATTTTTAAATGAAAAACGTATTTCCCTCAAGCTTCTAATCCCATGACCTGAGAACCATGGACAGAGAACAACAACAACAGAGAAACAAGAAGTGAAATTGTATCTAGTCTCAGAGAGCTTGCTTTCCCGCCCATTAACTTGCTTGGGCAGCCATGGCTGCAACATTCTGTGAAGAAGTCACAGGGTGAGTCATGAAGTACGTATGGCTTCAAGGCCAAATTCTGCACAAGGGGGAAAGTCCCATTTCTTCTTCATTCATCAATAAAGCTGGCATTGGGTGGGGCTAATTTTTACAATGAAAGCTTTGTATAGATGAGGGGGACATCCTTCTCCCCACCTGCTGAGGCTTCATTGCCCCAGACACTTTTCACCCAGACCAACTCTGATACCGACTGCAATAGCTCCTGCTCCTATTTCTTCAGCTGAAGGCAGCAGGAAACTGCACATTTCATGTTTAGAGCTTTAAGGCCCTAAAGACAGAAATGCGCACACTGCAAATTGCTCTCATTGTGGCGAAGCTTTCCCATTGCTTATGGTGCCTTTGACTGTTCATAAGAACACAAGAAAAACCTTTGTGGATACACCAAAGGTCCATCTAGGCCAGTATCCTGATTCCCAGAATGGACAAGCAGGTCTTCTGGTTAATTCCCAAGCAGGACACAAAGGCAGTAGACCTCTCCTGCTCTTGTTTCACAACAGGTGCTGCTCAGAGACATATTGTCTCTGAACCTCAAGGTTCCACATGGCCATCATGGCTTAAAGGAACTTGACCATGAGCCACTTGGCTAAGCTTAGTGTACCATGGCACAAAAGAGACCAGCAAAGCAGCCACAAGCTCCTCTCCAGAAGCCCGCAGGCACATGCAGTCTAATTAACCAAGCCATTGTACAGGGATATAACTTGGGGGTTGGGGTTGGGGGGCACCCGCCCCCCTAAAACAAGTAAATCAATGCAAAATACTTGAGGTTCTGCCCCCCAGCATAAAGCCTGCCCCCCAATAAATCCTAGCTACGCCCATGCCATTGTGTATTTTGCCTACACTTCCCACTGGTGTACACGCAACAAACATATCTATTGCTTAAATTGTCAAGCTCAAACTTCCTAATCTTTTAACTATAGAAGCAGCTAATCAATAGTAGGTCAACTCCCATTGACCCACAATAAAGAATAGGGTAGAGGCCCCCAAAACATTGTCCTGCCTCAGTTACATTTAATTGTTAAGAAAAATATTGCCATGTGTTAGATAAAATGGCAGGGAGGCGGGAAATGACAGTAAGGTAGCTCAGTTCTTTTAATTCATTTCCTTCAAGCAGTGGAATTGGTAAAACTGCAGCTTCCGCCTAGACTCACCAGTGCTTAGCATCCTGGGAACTAAAGTCATTTGATTACAATCTTGACACATGACTGGGCTAGACCTTGGGTCTTCGTTTGGTTGGAGACTGGTTGTTATGACCCCATTCTTCTCCTTCTGCACCTGTCCATGCTGCCTTCCTTGTGATTGTTGTTGGGCCAGGAAGACTGCCTGCTTTATCTAAATTCAGATCTTGAGGTTTAATGAACATAACAAACCAACCCTGCAGCTCTTGCAAAACAGTGAGCAAAATTTGGTTGCTTCATCATCTGCCTCCAAGGCAATGAGTCCAGCAATGAACAAGCAAGGATGCAGCTGAGTTCAAGTGCCTTCCCTTTGCTGCCACAAACTGAAAGAGGAACCAGCCGAGGTACATGCCTCTGCGTGTCTGGTGGCTCCTTGTGGCTCAGTGCTGGAGAGCAAGAGCAAGGAGCTTCTATGCACTGCTGTTCTGCTACTAAATGAGAAGAAAGCCCCTGCTCTACAGCAATCCTTGTTTCTTGCTCCCTCCATACAAAGTTGGCAGTTTTGGGTTAACCCCAAGGAAGTGTCAGTCATGGAGCTTAAGCTGCTCCCATAATTGGGAGAGTACACATTGTGCAATGTCAGTTCATTCACTTTCCCCAAAGAGTCCTCCATTCTTTACTGAGGGAGCAAACTCAAATTATAGCAGCAATTGATTCTGCATCTGGCTTGCTGCATGCATACACACCATACATTTAAAACACATTTAAAGCACATGAATTTCCCCCAAATGAACCTGGGTAATGTAGTTTGTTAAGGGTGCTGGGAGCTGTAGCTGGGTGAGAGGTAAACTACACTTCCCAGGATTCTTTTTTGGGGGAGCGGGGCGGGGCAGGGAGGAAGGTGCTTTAAATGTCTGGTGTGTATGCAGTCTAATTGAGCTGATTCAGGAACACCACCTTGCATTGTATACAAGCAGAAAAAGCAACTTACCAAGTTCCATGCAAAATAAAAAAAAATGTCATGTGAGGTTTTCCTCACATGACAAAGAGGAGACTCCCTTTTATGACCTCTCACAATCACATATCTGAGTTGTGGTGTGCAATGACAGGTACCATATTTAGTACTTGCCAACTTTGACCCTTACTCATGCCATCAAATGTGGTATTGCAGAGAGATTGCTTAGTTTGGACACCTGAGTTTTCATTGAAAGCCCCTAATAATCTATAAAATTCACTGGGCGGACCAGCACTTTGTGTACTATAAAAGGGTACTCACTACTATAGGGGTTTCAAAATTGGACTGGGGTTTAGATTAGTGGGCCCCCTAGGAATGTGTAGGTTAATGCCTCACACACCTCAGAGGCATAGCACTTGGAAATAGGAGTTCCGGCATTAGCCCCTTTGACCGACAGGCAATGTTGGCTAAGAATACAATAAATACGATGTGTTTGGCTTTCTGCTCTTGCCCGGTCAATAGTGCAGCATCCTCTGCATGCACTGACAGCTTCATCTCTCCAGTTCAGCAAAAGAAAACCCAGTCCCTTAGTTGAGAAAGACTCTCAGGGGTGTGGATTCAAATATGGCTTCTCAGAGTCTTGGCCTAGTCCCGACAATCACTAATTACAAATGGAGCTGAGGATAGAAACCTAACCAGTGCCATCAAATAGGTAAACATGTTTATACTCAACAGACCACTTTCCAGTTTAAGGATGCATCCAGCCTCTTATCAATCTCTACGTTTCCATGGAAGCTGGAAAAATTGACTGGGATGTGGGGAGTAAGTGTGGGATGTGAAACACAGCAGTCAAGTCCTCATTCCTAGAGTGGGCATGCAAGGGGATGCTTGGTTCAGCCAGTAGAAAACTTCCTGTTTCCTCCTGGGCTGGGACAAACTTCCTCTGCATGTGACTAAAGATGGGCGTGACCTTACCTGCCCAGGTGACAAAATAGATGCTGAACTAGATGGGCCATTAGCTCATCTTATGTTCTTAACCCTTCTGCCAAAATGGCTAGATGAGGGTGAAGCAAAGCGATGCACTGTATGTGCTGGAAAACTGGTGATGGTGGTGCAAAGAACAATTAAGTAAGGGAGACTTGACCTAATGCTAGGTATTTGATATGGGTTCATAGAATAACAGAATCATCAAATTGTAGAGTTGGAAGAGACCATGAGGGTCATCTAGTCCAACCCCCTGCAACACAGGAACATGGGGCTCACACCCATGACCCTGACAGTGGCATAGCGTGGGTTGTCAGCACCCGGGGCAAGGCAAGTAATTTGCGCCCCCTAACCCGTGGATTTGCGCCCCCTAACCCGTGGATTTGCCCTAACCCCAGATGTTGCGCCCGGTGCGGCCGGCCCCCCCTGCACCCCCCACGCTACGCCACTGGACCCTGAGATTAAGGGTCTCATACTCAACAGCGACTGGGGTAATGGATGTTTTTTAAAAAAACCTTTCCAATATTTCAGGGGTGGCCAACTCCCAAGAGACTGCGATCTACTCACAGAGTTAAAAACTGGCAGTGATCTACCCCATTTTTGGGGTTCAGGTCAAAGTTGTTGAGCTGCTTTGGGGGGAG